GCATGGTTTCAAATTTCCAAAATAATCTTTCAAAAGGAGAATAGAAAGCCGAGTTGTTAGCAGAACAATATAGGATTGATATTATTGAGATACCCATGTATGTTTCAATAAGATACTATTTATGTATTAAGCTCATTTCTGTACACTCAATAGGGAAAATGTATAATATATATATATATGTGTGTGTTTATATATAAAATAAAGATTAAATTAATAATCCAAAGAACCATTTTTGCGAATAGACTGCATCAGATTACAGTAAAATCATTATCTTGTACTAGTATGCTTCTGTAGTATTTTATTATATCTAAACCAAATGTACACTTAACTATAATTACATGCCTATCTTTTTTCAAACAGATTAGTGGCGTTATTTTTAAATATTTATACATAAATCAATGGGTACATTAAACGAGTGATTTTCCGATACTGTTTTAGACATAAATATCAAAAATTAGAACTTACTGAAAATTCTCTCGAAGTTTAAATTTGTGAAAGTTGCATTAGAGATTTAATGAGGATTATCAAACAGTATGCATAAATAGCCTAAAATTTTAGTATTGTCAGTATTAAGTAAATGTGACATATAAATAAATATTCATTTTTTGAATATTAATATGCCTATACTGAACACAAATCCACGCATATATTTAAGTCGTTGTTTAGGCGGTCTCATAACATAATCCACGAACAATAACTTAAAACGAATGTCTGGGGGTGAATGTGAGACTATAATAATTATAGTCTCAATTATTGGAACAATGTGTTTTTTATCACATCGGAGTAGATAGCATCCAAAAAGGAATTTCGTATAAACTTGTGTATAGATGTTTAGTATGTTAATTTATATATATTTTAATATAAAATTAAAAAAACTCTTTGAAACTAGTTTTAAGAATTGCGAAATCCTAATTAGTGGTTAAATTCTTATAATAAACGAGTTATTTAATTGAATCAAGGTATTTTTCCAATTTGGTGACTTTAAAGCATAAACTTCTTAGCTTATGCTAAGAAGAACTTATTATTATTCTTTTTTCTTCTTAACCTCCTGAATCCAAATTACAATGCAAAACAAATCGAAACAACTTCAAAAACAAACTGTATATATATTTTTCTAATAACTTATCATTAGAAATTCTTTTAGAATTTATCGTTAGTATTTTATTTCACTGAATATTATACATATTAGTATTACAGTCGAGTTTCGATAACTTTTATTTCAAGGGAGGTGAAAATGTGTTTTGCTTATTTTTTTTTTTGAGTTCCATAACTAGAAATTTTCTAAAAATACAAACAAATTTGAGTTAGCAATTATTTTATATGTATTTATTGACTACAAAAATAATTAAAAAAATTACACTTTGAAATTAATTTTCTACATATTTATTTATTACAAATTTATTAAAATATTACATTTTAAAACATAATATAAGTACGAGAGCGTACCCAAAAGAAATTGAACTATTTTTGTACTAAGTTATTTACAAAATTTTATCTTACAAAAAACATTTAATCTCTTTCTAAGTTCTCTCACTTTTCCAATCTATATGTATATCAATGCGTCCCTACCAAAAAAAAACGTGGTACCACTAATACTCTATCCCGCACAACCAGGGGTGGGTTTTATCATTAACCAAGGGAGGGGCTAATGGAGGTTTAAGAATTTAGTTAGTTGGTTTTTTAAATCTGTATACAATTTTAAATTACAGAATTTGTTTTTGAATCCCTCATAAGTAAGGCATTTTTTTCACAATAATGATAAAGTTTAAATAGTTACATTATTGGTATTCATTTTAATCTGAAACCATTTTAAAATATAGGTAAATACATATAAACACCAACAAAAGTGAGCTATTTCTTTATAAAAAAAAATAAATAAAATAGGTAACATATTCATCAATGACCATTGACGATATTTTATTATATTTATTAATATATAATAATACTTTGCTTTGTAAAATAGATAGCTTAGTCCCAAGGGGGTGAGGGCTAATGCCCCCTTAGCCACCCCTTAAACTCACTCGTGCGCACAACATCAGTTCGGTTTCTTTTGGGTACGCTCTCGTATAATTCTTGCAGTTTAGAAAAATTACTTAAAATAAGAGTTTGATAAGTGGGACAATTACTGGATATTCAACTTCGTCTGAAGTCAGATTTAGGAATCGGTTGCATTGAATTTACAAAGTGTTGACAATTTAATACTCCAATTGTACCTACATTAATGTCTATTTCAGTAAATGTATGAAATGTGAGTTTTGGTTCTAACACATGCAATGGCGCACGCAGGGGGGATAAGGGGTTGTAATCCCCCCCCCGTAATTTTCTCCAATATCTAGGTTAAAATTTATAAATTTTACAAGTTTGTATTATGAAGAGATAGTATTGAATACCTAGTATAATTGATTATAGAATAGTCTATTCTATTATCAATGCTATCTATTTAAGTCAAAATATATTAAGGAATTGCATAATTTTGTTAATTGTAAAATGTGTTATATTTTTACCGTGACCCCCCCCCTAGGTATTTGTCATACCTAGCTGACTCTGAGTTATCTATGTTCAACGACAAATATTGCATTAAGTGTATAGGAATTTTCCAGGAAATCAATTCAAGTTATCGAGGTTTTTGAGTTATTAGAGTTAGAGTTATCGAGACTTGGCTGTTATTGTTATATTTGCAATTTAAGTTCTTATGGATTCAGCACGGAAACTGACCATAGAGTGTTTTATCCGGTGAAATTAATAACATTATAGAGTATAATTATAGTCTAGGCGAAATCGGAATGCAATTGAAATGATTTTGGAAACCAGAACTATAAATCACTGAAATGACATTAACGTCGTTTGATCGGTTAAAGTCTACGCCAGACATTATGATTGAACGTTGAACTTCATCGAATCGAATATATCTGCAACAGGACTATATATATACGTTCAAACTGCGAAGGCTCGAGCTAGAGCGACTGCGCACTTGTGTAATGTTACAAAATAATGCGAGATAAAAGAAATGTAAAAAAATTAAAAAAAAATAAATATCCGGTCGACCATAACAACGACTCAGGATGGCGAAGTGGTGAAGAACCTCGACTAGGATATGTAAACGGACCATGGTCTAGCGGATTAGACGGCGATTAAAATCTATGGTCGGCACGACACCACGGGGAAGTGGACACATGAAGAACAGTGCACAAGGGACGTCTTGTCCTTGGACAAGGACAACGCGTGACAAGTTGTAGAAATAACAGCGTTACCGCTTTCGTCCTCTGCACCAGCGGTTGCCAACCTTATTTTTCTTCCGTACCCCTAAGCTCAGTGTTTCGCTAGACTGTACCCTTCGTTATAAATGTTGGATATCAAATCCGATAGTTCGGAATTCGCGCGATATGACCGTCACGTCTCGTGTCGCAAACGGTTGCCATCCTGGAAGTGCACCGCCGACGCGCAGCAAAGTCGACCTTTGTTCCCCCCGAGGGGGGGGAGGGACGTTTTCGCTACTGTCGAGCTTCCAGCGAACCGGCACACGCCGCCATGTTTTTTTTATTTTTTTGTCGTTGCCCAGCCGTCATGGCGAGTAGTCGTCTCGAGCAGTACGCTTTTTTCGCGAACCGTCGCGCCCCCGCCATCAATATACTTTTTACGTTTTTGTTTTTTTTTTTATTAGTTTCGTGCACCTGAACTCTTGTGTTGTTCACACGCACTCGTCGCGCACGTCCTTGCGACGTCCACGGCCGCCTGTGCCTAGAACCCCGGTCGTTTACGCGCCAACGTGTTCCGCCCGCCCGTTTTTACGCAGTGCGAACCGTCCCGTATTTGCTATCGTGTTTGATATTTTCTCGCTCAACGACCGCGTCGTCCGGTTTTGGGATCGTTTCCTTGCAATCGTGTCGACCCGTGCACGCACGTACGCGCAAGACAGTGCCGCGATCCCGTCCGGCAGCCCGTCGTTCCGTGTCAAGTGTTACGCCATCGTCGTGTTATCTCCGAGCCAGGTCGTACACACCGATATTTATGTCATTATCTTTTTTATTCATTATTTACTATCATTATTATTATCCTGATTATTTGATATCGTCTCCGACGTATTATCTTAACATATTTGTAATTGTTTTTTTTTTTTTTTTGTTTTTGGCCGATCGTATGTGCTAATACAAAACTATTATTATTTAAAAACGTTATTGTTAATGGTCACCTCATACTCATCGTTGTTAGATTTTTAAATCAATTGATTAGACGTGAACCAACTACACCCATACTGTACAGTTCATCCTCTCCCTCGTTACAAGGCCATCGGAATATGGTTTTTGTCTTTTGTTTTTTAACGGTAAGTAATCGCACACGACGAGTTGCGTGTAGGTCGCCGTCCGTGCGCACGCAAACACAAATACGCGTACACCCGTCCATCGGCTTCTTGTGCAGCCCAACGCACAATAACTTTTTTCGGATAACAGCTTTAGAAACGTAATAACCAGTGGCGTGTCATACATGTGTGCAATGTGTGCAAATGCCACGGGCCCTCGGCCCGTGGGGCCGTGGGGGGCCCATTATTGATCAATGTTCCTCAAAAAAAAAAGAATTAAATAAATACAGTTAATATGTACGAAAAAGTAAAAAAATTGTTTTCAATTTTAAAAGATTTTCATTTTCTCAAATCTGATATCATTGTTATAATCTATAAAATATATAGATATTGTATTTCTGTGACGGCGACTAAACGTTATTTATAGCAATCTGTTTCCCGTGGTTTTTCGTTATCGCCTTGTCGATTTTGCTTATCCATATTATTTTTATTTTTATTTTTTTTTGTATTATGTATACCGGTACACGTATAATATAGACGTCTATGACATGAATTTACGCGATTAAATATTATCGTATTACTTTTGTTGTATTATTTTGTGATAGTGCGATACTCAGTCTTGTTCTTTGTCGTCGTTCAGTGTCTATTGAAATAATTTACAAAAAACTCAATAAAATATTGTATTTTATTAATTACTATTATAATGGCATCAAAATCTGCCAGTGGTGCTGCGAAACGCAAAATAAAAAAACAAAGAGAAGTATCTGTTAAGCGGATGCCGAAAATTGACACAAATTTCAAACAAAACCACGAAGAAACAGAAGAGCAAGATATTGATAACCCAGGTATTTTATTAAATAAAATTAAAACTGCCAGTAATTCCGTCTCAGAACCAACTGCAACATCTAGTATTGACACTATTAATACTAAAAATGTTGAACCTAATATTTTTAACAGTTTAATCTGTGAACGTTTTCCTACTGACAAAGTTCATTTTAAAGAACCACTCAGTTACCAAGAAAAACGTTTTATAATTTCTCAAGGCCCTTGTCAACCTAAGGGTCCATTTCCAACTGACAGTGATATTTCTAGATCATTTTCAGAAAAATTTTACTATTTTACAAATCAGGCTAATATTACTTTAAAACGTGCATGGCTATGTTACTCATTAACTTTAAATAAAATATATTGTCAATGCTGCTGGTTGTTTTCTACACAAGATAGAATTAGTTCATCTTGGGTTACGGGAAATAATGATTGGAGACATCTAACTCAAAATATTAAACGCCATGATAATTCAAATGATCATATTCAATGTTGTATTATATTTGAGCAATGGCGCCTAAATAAAACTATTTCCGAAGAAATGGAATTATCTATTCAAAATGAATGTAACTTTTGAAGACAAGTATTAGATCGGGTTATAAATGTCACATTAACATTAGCTACATCCAACTTGTCTTTTAGAGGTTACCGAGAAACAGACTTGAGTAAAAATAAAGGCAATTTTTTATCAATAATTACCCTTATTTCAAAATATGATCCCATATTAGAAAATCTATTGAGTATGCCAGCTGGTAAGGGTACAGCAAATTATTTAAGTAACACTATTCAAAATGAGATTATTACTTTACTCACAAATACGATATTAGAACAAATTATTTTAAGTATTAACCGATCACCATTTTTTTCTGTCATAATGGATACTACTCAAGACATTAGTAAGATTGATCAACTAAGTCAAGTTATTCGATACGTTTCGGTTATTTCAGACTCTGATGGTAATCCTAAGACATTGCAAATAAATGAATCATTTATTGGCTTTGTAGAAATTGTTGACCAATCAAGTGCTGGTTTAGAAGAATCTATTATTAATTGTATTACAAAAAATAATTTAAATTTGTCAAAACTTCGTGGTCAAGGGTATGATGGGGCTGCCAACATGAGTGGTGTATATTCAGGTGTCCAGGCTAGGTTAAAATCTAAACAAAAATTGGCTACATATATCCATTGTGCTTCACATAATTTGAACTTAGTTCTAAATGATGCAATGAATTCATCAACGGAAGTAAAAACTTTCTTTGGACTTGTAGAAAAAATTTATACATTTTTTTCAAATAGTATTAAACGTTGGCAATTACTTTTATCTTCAGAATCATCAGATATTTCAATTACATTAAAAAGATTATGTACCACTCGTTGGTCATCAAGGTATGATTCTTTATTAGCTATTCGACATCGCTACGTTGATATTTTAAAATGTTTATCGCAAATAATTCTTAGAAGCAAAAATAAGGACGAAATATTTGAAGCAAATTATTTAAAAGTTCATATGGAAGATTTTCAATTTATATTCAGTGTAATTTTCATTGGCAAAATTCTGGAAACTGTAAATGTTGTATCAAAAGCTCTTCAGTCTCCTAAACAAGAACTGAGCACAGCAGTTTCTTTGCTGAATTCTGCGTTGATAAAACTCCAAGAATACAGGTCACAATACAGTGATTTTTTCGAAATAGCAGTAGAAATCGCAAAAAAAATGGGGTGTACCACAAAAATTTCAAGAAAAAAGAACCCGAAGAGTAAAACGATTTTATGACGAAATCCTCCAAGATTATTGCTTTACTTCAGCAGAAGAACATTTTAAAATAAATATATTTTATTTAACATTGGACAATGCAATAATACAATTAGAAGAACATTTTACCAGTTTAAATAACGTATTCAAAATATTTGAAGTTATTCAACCGAATTCGTTAATTAATTTAACAGACGAACAAATTTATAACTCCGCTAATAAATTGGTAGAATATTATGATTCTGATTTATCTAATGCTCTTGCTGGTCAAATTTTATCGTTCAGATCTTGTTTTAAAGAAGAAATTACAAAACGAACATCGGTAAAAGCAATTACTGAATTACTTGTAATAGAGAACCCCACATTAGCAACAACATTTTCTGAAATATGTACAGCATGTATGTTATTTTTGACATTCCCTGTGATAGTTGCTACAGCGGAACGTTCATTTTCAAAATTAAAATTAATCAAAAATTATTAGACGTGGACTTGGAATTCTATCTATTGAAAACGATCGAGCTCGTCAATTAAATTTAAAAGAAATAATTAATAATTTTGCAGAAAAAAAAAGCACGCAAACGAAATTTCCATTGAATTATTATTATTTTAGTTTTATCGTTATTTATAGAATATGTTATTTTATTTGTATGGAATTTCATCTTATTTTTTATGTAATTAAAATTTTAATAAAAATAGAAAGTACCTGTGTAATTGCATAAGATTTTAGAATTTTAGAATAAAAACTCTTACATTAAATTTGAATTTATGTATCTATGTCTATATATTATTTAGAATAAAAGTTGAAGGGGGGGGCCTTTTTTTGGTTCTGCACACAGGCCCATCTTTGGGATAAACCGCCACTGGTAATAACGTATATGTTTTTATAATTTTTTAATAAGAGAGGCAAAAAAAAAAATATTATAATAATGATAAATTGATATAAAAATATAGCGAGCTATTTGACCTTATTTCGAATTACATCGTTTTTTTTTTTTTTTGAAAAAAAAAATCAAGTTTAAATGATACAAGATATATTCTAAAATCTGCGGCTGCGTTCAGTTTATTTCTATATTTATTATTATACACATACAGTATTCCACAATGCACACTCCGTTTCTAGAAGATGAGTCAACGTTTTTCATTTTAACAGCAAACGTTGCGTATTTCCGAAACGAACCGTTTCAAATAAAACATATTCGATATTTTCCGCCATTACGCAATAATTTTCCCCGGGTCGGGAGAACCTCTGATCTCCGCACACATGTAGTGGTGGCCATTGTGAGAGAGCGACAGTCACGCGGATTTCGCGTGCACCTACCCCGCAACGTTGTATTGCAACAACAACAACAACAACAACAACAACAACAACGATAATGATAATGATAATAACGACCGTGGTAGGTACGCACCGGAGGAATTATTATTTCGGGCCGTTGTCGTGTTCGCGTCGCGTAGTCGCTGTGATTTATGGTCCGCCGTGGCCGGGGGCGGTTGGGAGATGCGCGCGTAGGCACGTCGGACGGGTGTGCGCGCGCGCGGCAACAATTTTCCGCGTGATAAGTCACGGACGTGCGTGTGTGCAAGAGGTGTCCGCCGTCCGCGTGTTTCTTTTGTCGTTCTCCCGCCGGTAGCCCCCGTGAATCGCGCGCGTTTGTTTGACTTCACCCGGACAATGGAATGCGTCAAGTCGCCCGTCTTGTCGAGAGCCGCTCTTCGTCCTCTCGCCACCGGCCCCGCGATCAATTAGCCGCACTTAACTCGCACCCGTGCCCCGTCTTAGCATCTGCCCGCAACGTTCGAAGACCTCTTTTCGAAATCGTTTCCCTTCGGTTTCGGTTTTTTTTTTCTTTCTTCGCGCCAATTGCGCGCACTACGAACACGCCTCGGCCGAACGGAGATTTATTTTCGGTTTCCACTCGTCAGATTCCATGTCCGAGGTCCAGGCCCGACGATATGAGGGGGGCATGTCGGGCTGTGGGCCCAGTGCCTGACACAGTTCACTACGTCTCGGTCATGGTGTCGAGCTACTAACCTACCCAAATAGTTATAACGTATGCTGTATAGTTATAACGAGTCTACGGTAAAGTGTCTACACCGCAATATTGATCTAAGACCTAGACAAATAACATTTTCGAGAAAGACTCATAGGCTATAAATAATTATTTTCATTTAGTCTATGGAATAACCGTGACTGCGATTAAATTATCTTTTTGGTATACACATTTTAAAAGAAGACGCTGGATGACAGTGGCTAGTTTAATACCTCGTGCGAGAAGGGCCTGGATTAATTTGTCCCTGGGGCCCTAGATTTCTCTCTACGGTCCTGCCGAGATCACGTCCGTGTTCCTCGAATCCGTGCCGTGGATAAAGTACAGAACGGGTAGACGCGTTTACGTTCGTTCTGACCGTCTCGAACGAGTCATTAGACATTGTGCCGGCACAGACGTGTATCGAAATTGTCGTACGAAATGTCATCCGAAGTATGTTTTTAGGGTTTAGTGCACAAACAGATCGCACGAGTTTACTAATTGAACACTTATTGGATTCACCTGTTTCTAGAAATCTCAGTGTGATTTCTAATTTGGTTTTATTCGGTATCGAACCACGTAAAAATGTAGTTCGTTTTTGAATATGTTTTTCCAGTTTGCTTAAAAGGTAGTTGAAATGTCCATCACTCATTCTTAAAAAGTTCTTATAGCTCGTTTGATCTTATTTTTTTAATTCTTGCAGTAGCAAATTCGACGGCCCAGCTCATTACGTTTAGCAACCCGTTTTCCAATCAAACATTTTTTTTTAAACTTTTTATTTTTAGAATTAAAAATTTCATGCTTATGTTCAAGAGCTAAAAGCTCACAAACCGAAATTACCGTGTCTGCTACGTTTGGTTCCATTTCACATCACTGATGGTTCTATATCACTGATAATGTATGCAATAACGTCAGAATTCGCGTGACAATCGGAGTAACACGGACGCGGCCTCGGATATGAAATCTAACGAGTGGAAACCGTAGTTGAGTGCGTTGTCCCTCTCCACCGCGGTAGACCCCGAAAGCACTTCTACCCCTGCAACTGACCCGCGCAAGACACCGGACCGAGAACTGTACGCGGTCGGTTGACGCGAAAAGGGCCCGTACGCGTTTGTTGGGCGCCGAAAACTTGCACTGTCGTACTGCTCTCAACGCGCGCGGATCTGCGTGACGTACAATCACAAATAATATTTTATCAAAACTTCGATTACTCGCGCGTAAAAAACACTAGTATTCCTTCATCGTTATAAAAAACGGGCGTACGTCTCAGACGAACAAGAACGTGACGCACGTGTTGACGGCTCTTGTACGTACCTCGTACGTCGTGGACACCGGGCCAGGGCCGCAGCAACCAAGTATTGCGCCTGGGGTGAAACTTCAAAGTGCGTCCTTAGGTATTTCAATTTATAAAAAATACTGAATATTTTTTTACACGCAATTTAAATAATGATTTTAACATAAATAATGATAATAACAATTTAATAATTTTTCTTATAATTACGTAAGCTTTTGTTAATTTTATTTAAATCAATAACTTATTAAAATATACATTTACATTATAATTACAAGTAGGTACATAGGTATAACAAAATTATACTTATAAGTCATATAAGTAAATAATAATACTTATAATTAAGTTATTATTAGTTATTAATTTTACTTATAATTAATAAGTTATAATTTATAACAATTAAATTACAAATTTTTCATTTTTGCGCTCTCCCAGGAATTACGTCCGGGGCGTAGGATCCTCTAGCTTCCCCCTTGCTAAGGCCCTGCATCGGGCACCATAGGTTTTCCGTGAACTAATGCAGTTATTACTATAGGGCCCCCAAATTTATTTTGGTCTACATCCATATGACCATATTCGTTCGATTGAATATGTTTTCTTTTCCAAAATAATGTTTATCTTAAATAAATTTAAAAATATTTCAAATTCCTGTCCAACATTATTTTAATAGGAATTTAAAATTTTACGAAAAAAAAAAATCTTCACCGATTGGTATTGCTCGGAGTTGTTTTTCAAATACAATAACTAATTAATTATTAAAGATTTTAAAAATAATACTACAACATACATAATAATTTTGATCAGTGATTTAATTAAAAGCATTTAATATATTTTGACTTATTTTACAAAATATATCTATTAATTTATCAAGATTTATTTCTATATAATATATAAAACATAAATATATAATATAAACTACATATTATGTAGTAGTTTCACAATATATTAACATAATAGAGTATAAATCTTGAGTTGGTTTCCTGAGCTCTGAAATAAACTACAAATACAATCAACAATATTATACTTACCTACATTATTTGCTAAATATTTATATTTGATTACATGTTTAGCACTGCCAACTCTTTACGTTTTATTCAACGATCTAAAGAACCAGATGAATAGTCATGCATTTATAGTGTTTGCTCCAGGGACCAGAGCGGGTCCCAGAGCCGAGGACGGAGGACGGTTTTTGGGAGCTAGTAGGTTCGTCTTTGACGGCGCAGTACGTCGCAGGATACGTGGAATGTATTCCGAACGGTCCGTTTCCCGAGTACGGTCGGCGGACGAAATCTCCTCCGCCCGTGTCCCCCCACATGCCCGATATACCTGTACGCACACACCTGTGCTTGTGATCCCGAATCATTGCCTCTTACAGACTGTAAATTAAAAATAATAAATAAAAAAAATAATAACGTGTAGCAAAAAATATTGAAAATTTCAGCAGCATTACACGATTAACGCACGCGCACGTGCATATGGTTTATGTGTTGCATCAGAGAAGGAAAAAATACGGGCAATATTTTTAGCGCTCCGTGTCCACCCCTTTGGACCGACGGGGGGTGTTTTTTTTTTCAGCTTTATTATTGTTGCAATTTTTTTTTTTTTTCGGAAATCGCTCGCGCGGAGTACTCGCACTTTGTAGTCTGGGCTGACGGGTGGCGTATTTATTTTCCCAACGAATAAGCCGAAACACGCGAAAAAAATAATAAAACACCCAACCGCTGCAGAGTTCTGCGGTCGAGTCTCTGTCGAACGACATCGGTCCGATCACCAAAAATCTGCCCTTCGTATTAAATTTACATCCATCGTTAACCGTCACGTGCTCTTGATCGTATATACTACTCGAATATGGCGAAAAAGAGATTTTTTTTCTTTCTTCCCGACATGGACCATGAATTTGGTCACGTACACGCTTTTCGGATCGACGGAAATAGCCAAGTATTTCTTCGCTTTGATTCACTATTCTTTTAAAAGTACATATAATGTGCCGTACTATCAATTTAACGTACCGTGTGTTCGTTTGGTCGTGTCGTTTGTGAATGGATAAAATAAATCAATGAACATCGCAACGGCCTGACGTAGCAATGAGTGCCGGAATTCGTAAAAAACGAACGGCTAAATTTATCGTCGTCTTATTGATAAAATTCCAAACTACGACCCAGT